TGTGTGTGTCTTTCTGTGGGCATCTGGGCAGTCTTGTAAAAGCTGAGACAAGAGTGGCTTTTGACCTGATAACTGGGGGTTAGCTCCAGTGTGGACAGAGAAGGATACTGGTTGTCCATACCAGCGTAGTGATGCTGGGATGGAGGCAGTCCCCAGAGGATCTCCAGTGCACAATTCTGCATGACTAGGTGGGTTCAGCAGTAGGTCCCATGTACTGTCCAAATGAGGCTGCATCCTGGCTTTATGCATCAAAACTAGCTTTGTCTCTGTATTTTCCAGGTCCTGTTGCCCTCGTATCTTGTGTGCTCTTTTATGCAGTTGCATAGTTCGTAGCAGATCTCTGCTAAAGTGCACAGTTTCTGCTGGGTTCCTTTCCCCTGATAGCTTGTAACACTGTAAACCCAAGCCCAACCCCTCAGGATGAGCAGGCAGTTACTCTGAATGGCTGAGCATGCTGGGCAAGGGGCAGGTGCAGCACAGAGTAGAACACGCCTGTGCTGCTCTCAGCCAGCTATGTACAAGCTGGCATACCTAATCCATCATGTGCATGCAGCACTGCACGAAGGGATGTGTCTGCCTAAGGATGATCTGGGCATGCTTGAAGGGAAGGTGGGAGCCTAGGGCTAAGCTTCCCCACCACTTGTGGACCCTTGTGCCTATCTGCAACATTTCATGTGGTACTTCTCTCTTTTTGCCTGACAGTTGGTGGCAAGTTAATCATTCTGGATGCTTGCCCTGCAGGGGCTGTCCCCTAGCTGGCAAGCCTTCAGCTCTGTTCAGAGGAGAACCCATCCAGTAAGCCTGTTGTGGCTGGCTCAGTCTAGCTCAGGGTATAGGTGTATTCAGGGCTAAGAAGTGGGGCAGGGGGGTCCTCTTTAGCATGATGATACAGACTTTTTAAAGGGCAAAATGCCACCCCAGTGGTTACCTCTGCTCAGCCAATCTCTTGCCTTAACTATCAGCTCTACCATGCAGAGAAACAGGGCTAGGGCTAGGGCTAGGTTGTATTGTTATGAGAACAGAACATTAATTCCCTCAGCAGTACAGGCAGTCAGTTACTGTGGGGAAGAGGCTGAAGAGTGATGGGGGAACCTGACAGCATCTGCCTCTCTGCCCTTCCAGGACCCTACTGCCAAGATTGGCATGAACTGCACTATTGGCCCCAATGTTACCATTGGGGCAGGAGTGGTGGTGGAGGATGGGGTGCGCATCAAGCGCTGCACGATCTTGAAAGGCTCCCAAATTTGCTCCCACTCCTGGCTAGAGTCCTGCATTGTTGGCTGGAGGTCTTCCGTGGGCCAGTGGGTAAGTACTTGTGTAGGTTGACTTATGCCAACAGAAGGGGCTGGCCCTGGCAGGAAGCCAGGTAGTGAGTGGGTTCACTTGCCTGACCTCTTCCTGCTGGTTCAACTGGCAGTACAAGGGCAACTCAACAGGAGGAGTTGTGCAGGAAGCACAGTGGCCAGATAAGAGTGCACTGGTCTTTTTGCCATTAGCCATATTCTTAGTGAGGACCTGGCCTCTTCTCACGAAAGCTTTAAATACAAGTGAGTTTGGTACCCCGGGGAGGGGCAGCCTGGCATCATTCTTGACCCAAGAGTACCTGCATTGCTAAAGATAGTCGTCTTTTGCATGGCAGTGCAGTTGCTGTCCCCCAGCTCAGTGGTGGTGACTGGCTGCAATCTACAGTAGACTGCCTCTGCTCTGAAAGCAGCACTGTGCTGGATGCATGACCACTGCCCTGTCTTGGTTAGGTGCGCATGGAGAATGTGACAGTGCTGGGTGAGGACGTCATCGTCAATGATGAGCTCTACCTCAATGGGGCCAGCGTGCTGCCTCACAAGTCCATCTCTGAATCTGTGCCAGAGCCACGCATCATCATGTAACATCCCTGGAGTCCTTGCTGCTGTGCCAGAACAATCTGAGATTGCCAAGGACTCTCCAGGCCAGTGCACTGGCTGGATTAAATATTTACAGCTCCTTGACTGAACGACTAACCCTTCATTTCTGGCACAGCCCTGTAAAGGACCATTCTCTGACTAGGAACCACGCATGCTGGGAGCTCTCCACCGCTGCAGCCTTCAGTGGGCAGGGCCAGGCAGGCAGCTGTCAGCACCCACCCCAGGCTGTACCTTGTCCCCTCCCCGCTGCAGGACTGGAGCCATAGGCAGTCAGGTTAAAGGAAGCAGAAAAATACCAGGAAGCAGGAGCACTTGCTTGTTTACAGCCGTGAAATATGGATGATGCTGGGTTAATGGTATAGGCCTGGCTCATACTACTGCTTTGTACTGCTTGCAGCACCTTGGGCAGGGTGCCCTGTCATGTAGGTGGAGTAACAGAGCTCTTTTTTAAGTGGAACAATACCAAATGCACTTACAGCCTAACAAGTGATGGTATGGCTCTGGTGTAGGCTTCTTTCTGCTGCTGTTCCTGTGCCCCTGAGGTAAGGAGACTATGCTATCCTGCAGGAGCAGCTGGATGTCAAGTTCCTTCATATTCCATGGCAGTGCCATGAAGCAGTAGCTTGTTTGCAGCTATATACAGAAGAATAATAATTTAATGCTCCATTCCATAGACATAGTGCCCCACCTTAGGGGCAAGTCAAACACAGTACAGATGCACATAACTTAAAGATCCCTACCATGGCTTAGTGCCTGGAATGAGGCTTGCCACACATCACATGCTATTGCTTATTACATGTCACACACACACCACACAGCCCATAGCACTAAGCACCACTGCAACTGAGCCCTAGGTCTGCGCCAGCAGGAACAAGATCTCCTCTGTTTCCTAGACAAAGCTTCCAATAACAGCACGGGACAAAACCAGTCTGCCTGCTGAATCTTTATAGCCTGGGGGCTGGGAAGCTGAGGCTGCTGGTAGAAGGCTCTCACCTTGGACTACAGGATGATGGCACCTCTGCTTCTCACAGAAACAATGACAAATGAGATGCTGAACTCAGCCCTATCCTGTCAGGCCCAGAACAACTGGATTAGTAATGACTATGACCTCTACCCCCCAGCAACAACACCCGAGGCCCATTCTTTCCTCCCCTTTGCCCAGATGCCATTGCCTTGGCATGTTTGCTACCTGGAGTTACCTGCTAGCATTTAAGATCTACCAACTCAAACAGGCAATTTCACCTACAAATGGTAATGGCAGCAGGACAGATGGCTGGAGAAGCAGGAGGAAACCAGACTCCAGCCTTTGGAGGTTGAATTGGGATTAACCCTGCCTAGTTTAGACCTAGCCCCTGGGGTGGCTAGAGCTCTTGCTTTATAGAACAGGCATCCTGAGGAGGGAGGCCCTTATTTCTGATTAGACTACCAGAGGAAGCTGGAAGCCATAGACCTGGCTCACAGTCCCACCTCTGTAAAGAGCCTACTAGCAGGAGAAGGAAAGCAGGCACTGTGCTAGGCACAGGGCAGTGACTGGGCCTGGGTACAGTAGCCCCTTGGCAACATTAGAGCTTATAAATAAACCAAAGCTGGGCAGTTGAGCCCTTCGGTTAAGTGAAGTGAAAGGGCCCCCGAGGATCTGGCAGGCCCTGCAGCAGAGCCACATGCTAGGAGCTGGCTGGTTTAGTGAAGTCGTCTACACCTGTGATGGTGGCCTTGCAAAAGAAGCAGTCCTTGTTGTTCATCAGGTGCTGGTTAATGCAGGCTCTAGAGAGACAAAGCACAAGCTGTCAGGGAGCAGTGTTGAGCCCCTCATTCCACCCAGATTGTTCCTTGGATGCTTCAGGACAGATCCCGATTCTAGTGTCTGCAGTATGCGTTTGGCAACTGGCACGAGCAAGTGCAGGCCAAAACAGGTTCTGCACTGGGCACCAAAGCCTTAGCTCAACAAAGAATATCCAAGAACTGCAGGTTTCCCAAAGGGTGTGGGTCTGGAGTCTCCAGCCTCAGGGCACTTGCACAGGGAGAACAGATGCTGTGGGCAACTGGAAGTGCCCAGGGAAGACTACTAGAGCTGCCATATGCTCTTAGCTGATCTGGCTATACGGAGCCATTAGGGGTATGATGGGATTACTTACTTGCAGGATTTGTGGGTACATGGCCTGAAGACAGCAGAGATGGGGTGTGCATAGCAGATAGGACACAGATCCTCTTCACTGGTAGGCTGCAGAGGCAAATTAGAAGTGGTCAAAATGGAGGAAGCACCAGGGTATCAGCTCTGTGCATGCCATGGCAAGCAGCTTGAGCCATTCTCATCATGAGTGCTGGTGATCCTGTTCCTTTCTTGCCCCAGTTTCTTGGCCATGTACCCAGCATACCTCCCTGGAAGTGGTCATTGGGCATGGGCAGATCTAGGATTTTGAAATGGACAGTACAGATGGTGTGGCACATCATTATCAGGGACCCAGGTTTTCCATTTGCCACAAAAACATGGATTTTCTCATTTAAAGAATTTACCCATGAGTTTCCCCTTGCAGGCTGGCAGAGCTCCAGCCTGCAGGGGGCTGCTTGGGTCTGGCGAGGGGGGGAGTATGTGACAGCGAGGCAGAGGCGGAGAGCAGCTCCAGCAGGTCCTTCCAGGTAAGGTGGGAGGGCAGAACCAGGGGTAAGGGGCACTGTGAGGGCTGTGGCTTGGGAGTGACGGGCAAAGGCACTGGCATATCAGGTCTGTTCAGCGCCACAAAGCAGCAGCAGGCGGGACAGCTGCAGCTGGACCCATGCATTCTGATAAACGAAGGGGCAGGGGAAGCTCTGATTTTCTGTGATTGAAAAACCAAAATCAAACACCAAAATGTATAGGTATTTAGAATTAATTTTATGATAATGATTGAGGCACTAGTAGGCTTCCAAATTGCTTTAAAATTGTAAATATATCAATAAAACATTGTGTTCAGCTGAAACCTATATACATATAGTGGTGTTTCATTTTAATCACAGAAAAACATGGATCTGGATGTTTTTTAAATTAGAATTTGGGATTTTTATCAGAATTTGCAATATTTAAACAAAGAAAACCAGGATCCTTGATCATCACATATAACACAACGCATTTTTATCCAGTTGAAGAGAAACTGCAAGCCTTACTAATATGCTAGGGGGTTAGCACTATATTTTTCAATTTAAGATCAAAGCAAAAACAAATATAACTACTGGAATGTGCAGTGATTTGTTAGATTATATATGAAGTTTAGAAAAGTCAAGAGTCAAAAGAGAGTGTGTCATCAGTCATTCTGGTTAAATGCATGTCTATTATTCAGATTCATTAAATAAAATCTAACCTTGAACATCTTGACAGTGCCTCCAATACTTCACTGAGTTATTTCTACACCAGAGCTAACATTACCACATGTAAATTAAGGTTTTTAGCTAAAGCTAAAAACAGTCTGTAGGGATGTGAAATAGCAGAGATGTTACCAGGAACTGCTAAGAGACTGCAAAACTGCAGAAGAAAGGTTAGTTTGAATAGTGGAACTTCAAGACCATTAAAAAGGATAAAGGGTCATTAATACCCGTGGAGTGGAGAAAAAATAACTGGAATCCAGGAGAGGATAATGAGCCATGAATCACAGAATCAGAAGTAGACCCAAGGAACCAGAAACCACCCCTTGCCTGAGGCAGGATCCTCCCGATCCAAACCATCACATACAATCTATAATTTAGTCTCTACAAAAGACCACCATCAACGCTGACACAACACAGACCTAACACCCTAACCCAGTGAGTGGTTCCCAAACTGGGTGATGACCCCGAATGGGGTTGCAGAAACAACAGATGGGGTTACGAGAAATAAAATCACTTTAATCCAGGTGTGGGCAAAATATGGCCTGCAGGCCAGATCCAGCCCATCAGGCAATTTCATCTGGCCTGGAAGGCACCCACCAACTACTTGTACCCTCCCAACCTACATGCTTTGCTTCTGACCTCGGGCAGAAGGGCCCAGCCCAGCCAGCTTGCATATTTTGGGCAGGGCTGCAGCTGCTATTGCTGCAGCTGCTGCGGGACCTGCTCAGCTTCCCTGGCATCCTGCTCGCTCTGGGCACCAGGTAAGGAAGTGGCAGGGGCAGGCAGAGGGGAAGGTGCAGCTGGACAGGGGCAGGGAGCATGGGGTTGGGGTTGGTGGCAGTACGAAGCCTGCGTCCAGGGGAGCAGCAGGACAGCAGAGCTCAGGTGAGCAGGATATGGATGTGAGGGAGGGCAAGGAGGCATGGGGACCCCTCACACACTCTCCCCCCCATGGAACACAGCCACCATTGTCAGCAGCAGCAGGCACTTGTGGCCTGCATAGGCACTGCGGCCTTGCAGTGTGTGGCTCCAGCTAGTGCCACACATGGCAAGGAGTACAGCCAGGCCTGCCTGTCTCATTACACAGGGCTCATTGCACAGGGTTCCCGGCAGTGCACTTGCAGCTCCTGGCACTTGTACACCACCGGGGGAAGCCCCACACAATGGAACCAGCTTCCTTCCCCCACCCCCTGCTATGCAAGTCCCTGGAATCTGCAGCAAGTGGAAGGGAGCCCAACCCCTTGCTTCCCAGTGGAGTTCCAGGACTCGTATGGCAGGGGGCAGGGAAGGCAGCCGGCAACATTGCACAGGGCTTCCCCCAGTGGTAAGCAAGTGCTGGGAGCTGCCTGTGCACCACAGGGAGCCCTGCACGAGGTGAGCCGGCCTGGCTGCGCTCCTTGCCACCATGTGCGGCACTGGGCGGAGCTGTGTGCTGCCCGGTGGCAGTGCCTGTGCAGGCCATGAGCACCTGCTGCCTGCTGCTGTGGTTGACAGCAGGGGCTGTGTGCTATGTGTGGGGGGTTCCTCCCAACCTCCCCTTTCCTCACATCCCACAAACCCCACACATGTACACCCTGCCCCCACAACCCCCCTGCCCTATACACCCTGCCCCCATACTCTATTGCCCTGTGCCACTATGGCAGCCAAGGTAAGGCACGGCAGCAACAGCAGCATGGAGTTGTGCCCCGTACTGCTGTCAGGAGGACAGGGGGCACCTCACCTTGGCGAACATGGCACAGCAGGACAGGGAGCCCCATGCCCGCAGTGTTGGCCCGCATTTCCTTCCCCATGCTCACAGACTCCTCTTTGGTTGTGCCTCCCTCTGGGGGCAGGACAGCTGGCCTCTACGCTCCACTCCAGTCACAGCAGCTGCTGCCTCCCACAGGTTCCAGCCTGGGCTCACACGCTACTGGGGGGTGGCAGGGGCTGTGGGCCCTGGGGCACGTGGGGAGGTGGGGGATGCGAGATAGGAGTGAGGAGCCATGCTGACAAAATGGGGTCATGCAGGGCTCTCTCTAAGCTATGCGGTGTGCATGGCCATGCAGACAAACTTGTGCCACGCTGCCAGGCAAGCCTGCATGGCTGCGCGCACCACGCTGCCAGGTAATCCTGCATGGCTGTGCGCACAGTGCAGCTTAAGAGAGAACACGGGTCATGCTGTGGAAATGGGATCATAAATGTGGTCATGCTGAGGAAAAGTTTGGGAAGCACTGCCCTAACCTGCAACAGATAAAGAAGTGGAATCAGGGCAGCCAACATCCTGCTTCTATAAAATGTTGTCAATACATGCAGTCAAGTGACTCAGCACTGCCAGGATAGAAGTGCCACTGCCTCTCCCAGGCACTTGGTTTTAAAGTTTGGGTGGAGCAGGAATGCACAAGTTCATCCCCCTTGATCTGCCCATCTGCAAGCAGAGAGCAGAAGCAGAGCACAAACCCAGACCACTGCTTTGGGTAGTTTCTTCCCCCAACCCTGTTAAGCCAGTGTAGCAGCAGGACAACAGGTTTTCAATCAGATTCTGTGTCCAGATCCAGGTGGATGGCACCATCCAACTCCAGAGAACCTAAACTGCTACAGATCCCAGTTGCTCCTTACAGTCTGGTCTTGGGCCAAGGTGTGCCTGGTGCAGGACTGGGGTTATTTGTATAGCCAAGGCATGTCCCTCACCTCCCCAGTACCACCCATACCTCCCAACAGGCCACTTAACCCCAACCCCACCACTGTGTGCACAGTAATCCTGGTTTACAGCTGCCTAGCAGAGCAGTTGGTGCATCTAGCATTCTATACAGTGATGTACCTCAACCCATAGCAGCGTACTGGCAACACTGCTAGTCAGGCTGTGCAACATGCCAAAACAAACATGGCAGGTGGAGCCAGCATGAGACAGCAAGTAGTGACTCCTTCCTCAGCAAGCTATAGGGAAGACACTTTCCCCTCCAGAACAGGTGCTGGTTGTCAGGTTAGGGCTGGTCTCTGTGATAGATACTGGAACATCCAAGTGCTAGCCGAATAACAAGGCAAGGAGCATGCTCCTGGCTGAAGGACTCACCAGTATGGCAGCAGCTGCCTGCTTGGACTCTTCATTTAGGTGGTTCAGCATCTGATCCACCTTGGCCAGTTCCTCTGGGCTGATGTAGTCTGTGTCTGTAGAAAGAAGATCATGTGGTGAGGGAGTAGGCTGTGACAGCCCACTGAGGGCCCGAGTACTAAGGCTGGCCTTGAGGACAGATGGTTTTTGCAAAAGACACAGCATCAGATCAGGGTCGTACACTGGGTGGGACAGCAGCTGAAGGTGCAGTGGGAATGCAAGACTATGCAGAGATGTTGACCAGGAGCCATTAAACTATAAACATGTTGGCTTGATAGCAGTAACCAAGGAGCATACCTGCCAAGCTGCCCTGTATGGTCTGGAGCATGGCCCCAACACAGAATCCACCAGGTGAGCCAAGGTTCCAGCTTTCAGCTCTTCTAGTGTTAAAAGCAGAGAGAAGCAGACAAGGACAAGCACTTGAAGATCGGAGCTAGCCCCTGAACACTTGTCTGCACTTTGAATACCAGAGGACTTTATACCTGTTTGCAACTTTGTCTCCAGCCAATAACCCACCCCAGTGACACAATGACCTGCAGCTGCTGGGCAGAGCCCAGGTGTACACCCCTGCAAGGAGCAGACATGCCTTCTACAGTGTCTAGGGCCTTCCAGATGCCAGTATCAGGAAGCTGCTCAAGTAGGCCTTCCTGGAGCTCCAGCCAGAAGGCTGCTGGCACATACCATACCAGTTGAGCATTGGTCTCCTACAGCACAAGCCAGGACTTCAGGCAATATGGAGACATGGAACAACTCCACTGTCACCTCTTTCCTCCAGCACAGACTGAAGACTGGAGGGACTACAATGCAGGCCAGCTGGTAAAGCCCTTTTACTTCTCTCCATTTTTCCCAGGTACTTTCAAGTGTGAAAAGTTCAAGCCATGGTTTGCCAGCACAGTTAGCACTGGGCCCTGGGCATACCCACTGCTGGTGCCTTTAGGGCAAGCTCTGTCCACCTGTCTGCGAAGGGCCTGAGAGAGAAGATCCAGGCTGACTGGATAAAAAAAAGAGTGGTTTTCTGCAAGTCCACTGCACAATCATGCCTCCCACTTTTCTCTGTCCCTTTAGTTCAGACTGTTGCAGCTCGTGCCCCTGGGTCACCACGGAAATGGCCACAGCTGGCTGTTTTTAAGGACAGTTTCTGTGACACTAAAGACAGCTCATTCCCAGCCTCAGCTCTGCTGTCCTCTCCTTGAGGCTGATGAAGGGCAAGCCCAGCTCTGTAGTGCTGCAGTTATATTTAGACACATTTACTTCCTCTATGAGGGACAACTCCATTTTGGCTACAGGCCAGAACATATGGGTGAGCAGCTCCTGATAGCACCCATCCCCCCACCATGCTGCAGGTAAGGGAGTGACTCAGATTTCAGTTGAGGATTTAATGGGCTGCTATGGGACTTTGTCTCTGTCAAACCTGTATGTCTTTGAAAACAAATGGAGGCTGCAAAATCCAGCTATAAAAAGCCACCCATTACAAATGTCTTGTCTTAGAGGGGGCAAAGCCAGGCCAAGAGCTGGCCCAGCCCCACCCTGCAGCTGGTGGGACAAGGGCTTGTCTCCACACAGGCCCCTCCAGGTACATATTGCACATAGTGCTGCCTTGCCTCCCTCTCAGCCTTCCCCCCTCTCCTACTCCCAGCAAAGGAGCTGCTTGCACCCAAGCAGATCTGAGCCTAAGCAGCCAGCATGGCAGCTACCAGTAGTGCCAGATCCTAGGCCAGTCTCTTGGGACTCTGCTGCATCAGCCTGGTAGACTCTCTTGGCCATAGATAGTATAGCCGCTTGTTCTGGCAAAGGAGCCTGCTGTGAGCAAAAGGGCAGTGAAGGGGCCCAAGGCACATCTCTGCTCTGTTCTTAAATGCCTCATAGACAAGCCAGGTCCCCAGGATATGCATCTCCAAAGCAGGGAAATGGACAATCCCAGAAAGGTAAGACAAGGAGAGATTTGGGCAGGGCTGCAGCCTTGCCAGTGGACCACTCCTGTCCTCCCCACAGAGGAAGCTGGAGTTAACCTGGTCAAACAACACCAACAGTGCAGCCCCACTGGTCCCCTGCCTTCTCCTTGCCTTGCCCAGCTCTCACTGGCATATGTCATAGACACTTACAGTTGTGCAGGGAGAAATGTCTCTTGTCTGCTGAGGATGGTGCAGCTGCCAGTACTGATGGCTCTGCATGGCCAAGCAAGTATTGGATGGAGCGCAGCTGGAAGCAGGGGTCTGCCAGAAGCACAGCCGTCGCCCGCTCAGCCCTGTAAAGAGACGCACACATTAGTCAGACTCCACATTTCCCCTGGACAAGGTCAATGCTTCACTATCACTAGTGTTTTTAGTGCCAGATGTTCCCATGCAAACGGTACAGAGCCGCACCAAGTTTTGGGGCTGCAGGCAGGGCTGGGGATAACCTCCAGTGCCAAGTCAATTCAGAACAGGTAAACCAGGACACAGTTTCAGCTGTGCAGGGATTTATGGGAGAACAATGGCCCACCCTAACAATGTGGCCAGTGCTCCCAGGAACCCAAACACAGCCCTGGAGCACCTGAGCCACTGCTTTCTGTGAAGGGCAAGCAGATTCCAAGAGCCACACTTCTCAGTCATGGAGCCTGCTCACGTGCCTCTGCTGGTCCCTGGAATGAACTTGCGTGCTATGGATAAATGGATTCATGTTTTCTCTCCTCTTGCCTTCAAAGTCGTCGCTGCCACTCCATCTCAAAGCCACTGTATAGGAGGCAGCTATCTGGGAGTGTCAAAAGAAAGTGGCTCTGGCAAGTCCTTCTGCAGGATCCTGCCTTTACAAGCACGGATCATCAATTTGTACAGTCATTGCCATTTCCACTTGGTCCCTTACCTGGGTGGCCTGAAAGAATACAGCAGCAGCAGAAACAGACAAAAATCAATTTCTGAACTAAAGCAGTCTCCTTTGGGAGGGAGTCATAGAGAGGATAACCTCTTTCTGCTATAGAGATGGCTCAGCAGTCCCTGAGCTGGCACCACTCAAGCAAATGGGAACATAGGCAAGCCACCTCCCCAGCAGTGCCTAGGGACTGGTAGCAGGGCTGGACAGATGACAGTATGACATGGGCTGCACAAAGTTAAGCCAGCTCTTACTGACATGATCCACTCAGCAATATACTCCTGGCCCTGGCACAAGAAACACATGAACCTTGGGTGGGGCAGCCCATAATGCATTGAGTCAGCAATACATGCCTTGCAATCACATTCAGCGCTGGCCCAGAATGGCTGTATTGCCCCCACTGCCCTCAGCCCTTTGCAGTTCATTCTAAGGCCAGCTCTTGCTGGCCATTTCTATGTGGCAACATTACTAGATATTGCTCCTATCCAAAGAGCCAGTTCAAGCTCTGTAGTTCAGCAGAGACTAGGTGCGTCTGCAGTGGGAGACAAGGAGGGCAGCCAAGATCACCAGGTTTATAAACACCTTCCTGTTCTATCCTCCTGGCTCTGGATGAAGGAGGTGAGGGGAATGATGGTGATCTCCAAAGGGTGCAAAGGCAAGGCTCTGTGGCAAGTCCCAGTACAGCAGCTCTGTAACAGTTCAAGGTCACACACTCAGGAGACCTGATCCATCTTCCCACACTAGCCTCTGGGCTGCAAAGCCTTCCACAAAGTAGCAGTATGGAGGCCTTTCCTCCTCCACTCCTGCCGTCTGACCCTGAGCCAAGATTACACAGCAGAGCTTGTCTCACAACAGCTACAACCCTGGCTTGGGCTCTCCTGGAGCGACAGCAAACACGGGTCACTGTTGCACAACCCAGAAGATGCTGGGCCAATTAAACACATTGCTGGCTGTATTTTAATCCGTAAGTCTTACTTTGGAGAGCACCTTCCTCCCCATCCATGCAAGCAGGGCTAAACCCTAGATGAGGCCAAAAGAGCAGCAGTAGATCTGCAGCTGCACTTGGCACAGGTAGTGCTAGGCATCACACTGAATCCACTACACATAGTGCCTCTGGTAGCAATCCTGAGAAACAAGCTGCTGGAAAGGTACGTGAAAGGGCTCTGCAGTTCCACTGCCTGTCCTAACTAGAGTCCCAAATGTAAGCACACAAGGGCACTACTAAGGCTTTATTAGCACATCCCCTGGGTCTAGCCCAGCCAGAGGTGGGCTGGGAGGCCTATGGCAGGCAGGAGGAGGGAGCCAAAACACAGGTATGTCTCTTGCATGTAAACACACACACTTAAAACCAAATACTACCCCTCTCCATTCATGCTAGCACAGAATGCCAAGGGCAGTTAGCCTGAACCAGACCATAGCTACAGCAGTATTGGGATACCCCTTTCAAATGTCAGAGCACTAACACAAAGCTCAGTGGGGTTACAGGGTCACTCTGCTCAGCTCACAGGCTCCATGCAAGTCCAGATTACACATGCTTAGTTTAAAGGCTAGGAGACTGAGGCCCTCCCTCTCCTCTTAGGCTGGGAGCTTTCCACCCTGTGAACCCAGCTCCAACTACTTAAATGTTTCCTAGGTTTTGGCTCAGCACAACAGCCCCCTGCAAGAGGGGACGAGGCCTACAGGAGTCTGGGGGCATCTCAAGATCCTGCTCAGAACCCTGGATGCAAACAAGCTCCTGTTGCTAGTCCCTGCTAGCCTGGCACTTGCCTGAGCATCTGTCTCCTTGCAGATAGGTCAGTCGTCAAACTACCTCCAAAAGGGTGCAACACTTCTTGCTCTCCCCCAACATGCCTAGAGATGCTGGGGAGTCAGCTCTGGCCAGGTCCCTCTGGCACCTGACAGCAAGAAAAGCATGGCTGTCTGAACAGACCTGTGTGGTAAATTCTTGCCCACTGTGGTTCAACTCAAGAGGATAAGGGAAGTGATGTCCATTGTGACAGGAGGGACACCACCCAGGACAGCTCACATCAGAAGAGTGGCTGCAGGATTACTGTGCGTGGAACACAGGATACCAGCCCATTCAGTGAGAAGTCAGCCAAGATGCTGCAAAGGCCACTGCCTGCCTCTGACAGGAACAAACCCATGCTTCCTCCCTCCAAAAGCAGCTTTTGCCCACTGGACTGCTCCCACCACCACCTTCCCTTCCCCTCCTTCCCCCTTCCTCAGTTGTTTCTTTCATGCCAAGATTCAGATTTGTATTCTAGCCTTCTGCCCTGTCCCAAGGAGTGCTGCATCTTCCTTGGGCTGAGAACCTACGTTAACCTTTCTTCTAGACCTGGTGTCCTGCCATCTTAGTAACACGGAGCAGGATTTCCTTAGATCCAAGGACCTAGGAAAGGAAGACCTCTGGCCCCACACCTGCCTGTGCAGCTCAACCATCACCTGTGACAGCATGGTCTGAACAGAAGCCAAACAGGAGACTCTTCAGCTTCCCAGGAATGGAAGTCCTGTCTCAGTGTCCTCCCTTCATGACAAAAGGGGATCTGTCTCATGCACTTAAAAACATCATGTCCCTGTATCAATCCACAGGCTGGACTGGGCTTTCAACCATGTCCAAAAAGCCCTCCGGGCATGAACAGCAGAGCCCACTGTCAGTGCCACATCTATCCCCTGGTCTTTTGATGACAGGAGAGCCACCACTTGGAGACAAGATGACACAGGATGCATATCTGCCAGTTGTGGGAGGACCACTTGCAGTTCTGCTTCCTTCCCTGCGAGTGCTCTCACGCAGATACGGGCTCAGCTCCAACGCCCAGGGGGCCTGGCAGACCGAAAGACTCAGATGGGGAAGGGCTCTGCCAGTTGCATGAGGGGGTCCCCAGAAAGGAGGCTTATCAGGAACTGGGATGGGGGAGGGGTTATCAGGCCAGGTCTTCATCCCTCTGGCAGAACTAGTAAATAGGGGACCAGAGTCTCCTCAAGACAGACTGCTCTACAGAGCTTCATTCACTGCACAGCACTCCATGTCATGGAGCCAAGTGTAAAGGCTGCCCTCTCACTGGGGAGCAGACAGTTAACAGTCATCTGTACACAGCAGCTACAGCAGCAAAAATTAGACATTTGCTGCCCTAATGGAAACCAATTACCCAGCTCTGATTTCCACTTCCCTTCGATAAAGTAGCCCAATCTTTTGGCTAATGGCACTGCTGCACATCCTTCACTGCCTTGCCATCCCTGCCCCAGCCCCAGCTAACACCCTATATGCATGGCTGGTGACCATCACCAGCAGGAAATCCATGCGTGTTCCACAGAGGCTGAATACCATATGCTCCCCTGGTCAAAACCCAAACAAACCTGCCCTGAGTGTCCCACTCTTCCTTTTGCTTTCCTATCAGAGACTGGAGCTGCCCTGTGGGCTAGCAGCATGGTCACAGCGCTGACTTGGCAGCATAACCTGAGGGAAGCCCTGATGGCTGAAGCACACAGGGGTGGTAGACAAGTCCTCCTGCCAATTCCAAGTGAGACCCACAGTGACTGACCAGAGTGGGATGCAAGCTCAAGAAATTAAAATGCCCCAACCAAGTTGACGTGCAAAATGTGAGCCCTGAACAACAAGCCCCTCTTGTCATTGCCTTACCCCTAGATAAAACTGGAAGCAGAAAGGCTAGAAGGAAAGCACCCTGGATGGAGGCAGATGGATCAATGCAGCTGATGGGAAGAGAACAGGCAGTTGATCAGATGAACTAGTCACCAGCCTTCTACCCAGTTCAAAGGAACAAAACCCTCAGGGGCGGCTGGAAAGCAGCTTCTGTAGGATCTACATGTGGCTCTGGAGTGCCCCAATAGCACTGCAGCAGAGACACACTGCCATGAATGAGGACAGTCTCATCTGTTCCCTTGCTCTGGCATCCATGTGAAATAGTGAAGAGGGAAATCCTGGCTGCTACTGTCCAGCTTCACGGACAGAAGCCGCGGGCCAATAGCTTTTCCTGCCCTGGTATGGCATTCCCTGGCACTGACAGCATAGAAAGGATTGTCCAAAGCTGCCTGTGAACAATCAAGGGAATGAAGAGCTGAATCCCATGCACCACATTGAGACTATGCTGGTGCTAGACACCAAAGGAAATACACACACCTCAGCTCTACCTGGCTCCTACGCTTCCCAAGAGAGGGCAACTAAGGCTAAAGAACTAACTACGGGGCCAATGTCCCCCATAGGTTATCTCCAACTTGGGGAAGTCACTGTAAAACTCTGAAATGGAAAGGATACCTTCCCCTCTCAGGGCAAAGGCCAAGCCATGGACCTGGCACCAGGACCTCTGGGTCCATGTTCACAGTCTTGCAGCTGTCATGCTGTGGGACTTTGGGCAAATCCTTCCCTCATCTTAGCCCCCTTGTACTCTCTGAAGCATTTTAGACTATGAAGTTTCTAGGGCAGAGAATCCTGGGAAGAGACCTGACACAAACGCTGATACGTACCAAGCATTATTCACCAGGAAAGGCTGCAACTGGATTCTAACCACAGGGCCCAAGGGGAAGCAGCAGGATTGCCCTAAGCCTTCTTTCTGCTTTCACCTTGGAAATGTGGTGAAACAGAATGCTGCAATTACTGTGAAGGCTCAGAAGCCAAGTCCCCCGTGCATGGCTATGTGGGGTCACTCTGCCCACTAGTGGCACAACCACAAAACAACATGCCATTCAAAAATTTCCTCTCTAGGGCCCTTCAACAGTACACCACTCCCTACTCCGCGGACCAATCAGATTGCTCCTGACCCACAAAGCTCCGCCTTCAGTGCTCACAGGCAGCTTGTAAATAGAGGTAGGAGGAAAGGGGAAGTGTTTGCACACAAGCGCACTGGGAGATGAGACATGGGTGAAGGAATGGGTCCGTGTGCTGCACTCTGGAAATGACACTGCAAAGGAAAAGCTTCCCTTTGGCCATCGCTGACCCTCTCTCACTTCTCTGTGCTTAGACTACAGAGAACTAGAGTTGGGCTACTACCTGGAGCTTCCTCTGGGACTGATGCGTTGGAATGGTACTGTCGCAGTCATGAGCTGAGCACTCTGGGCTACAAGTACACCCAGCACTCAGAAGCAGAAGTCAGATGCTATCTTCAGAGAGCAGGAGCACAATCTTCAAACTACAGTCTGGATCTCAGTTCAGAGAAACAGACATGCCAGAACTACACTGATGCCAGACACCAGAATGCGTCTGTCACTCCGCACACTATTGGCAGGAGTCACAGGAACAACTGGATCTCAGGTACAGTACAGAACTGCTTAAGTCACTGAAAAGATAGACAGAGCTATGTTTTTCTTTTAACTCTTTCCAAACCTCAGACCCTCTGCTAGGATTTGTTTCCTGCCTGATTATCCTGAACTAACTTACAGATTCTGCTTGGCGTGGAGCAGCTTCTGAAAATGCCCTGCTACTAGCAGTGGGTACTTGGCACCTAGCAGGGAGTGATGCTGAGCGACCAGTCCTTCTAATACTGAATAGAAAGACTCCTTTTGACCTCTTAGCTCAGTGATAACCAAACTCCAAAGTACCGGATGCATAGGGAGGTTCCTTCTCTCACACAATGACTACACGGTATTCTCTCTGGAAACATCTAGGAAAGCTGCTGATGGTCTTAGAACTGTGTGTTCAAGGCATCATGACAAATACTTCACCCCCACCCCCTAGATGCCCCAGTGTCTGCATCTGCACCTCCGATCTCTTGAGCTGTACTAGGCAGAATCTCCAGCAGGTACCTCTAACGCTGCCTCCCACAGCAATCACCTTGGATCTCAGCCACAATGTCCTCTTCCAGCTTCACGATCACTGGCTGGCTTCCCTGCCACGGCTCCAGGCCCTCCGCATCAGTCACAACCAGATTAAAGAGCTTTTTCCAAAGACCTTCCACAATGCCACTTACTTGAGACACCTGGACATATCCTCCAATTACTTGCATGCTGTGGAGAGATATTACTTTGATGTGTTGGTAAACCTGGAAGAGCTTCTAATTTATGACAACTGGATCATACAGGTAGATGAAAAAGCCTTTGCCAGGCTAAGCAGCTTGCAGAAGCTCTACTTGAGCTGGAACAACTTAACCAAGTTCCCCTTTCAATCCATGCAAGGATTCAGTCACCCCAAACTCAGGACACTGGACCTCTCCTCCAATAATCTGAGCAGCATTCCCATTGATGAGATTATGGCCTTGCCCGTGTCCATTAAAAATGGCTTGTATCTTCACAACAACCCAGTGAAGTGCAACTGTGCACTCTATCAGATGTTCCAGCAATGGAAGCAGCGAGGCTTCAGCTCCGTGCAGGACTTCCTCGAGGAGCATACATGCAGGGCCTTTGACAGTGTGGCCCGGTCCTTAGTCAGATTCCTCAAGTACACCATAATTTTTGAGAACTGTTCCTTGAGAAAAGGATATCTTGGTGCACCAGAGGTGAATCTCAGAGTGCTCGTGGAAAAGCCCCTGCTGATGGACTGTAACACAAGTGTGCATGACCCCTCCGCCACCTACATGTGGATCTCACCTCACCATGAACCCATCACACACCCTGGGAACAGTAATCGTACCCTTGAAGTTTACCACAATGGAAGTTTAAAGATCACAGCAGCCAAGCCATGGCATTCTGGGGTGTATATATGCATAGCTATAAGCAAGCACTACAACCTCAACAAAACCCATGAGGTCAACGTAACAGTTCACTACCCTAAGCTGGATGGGGAATCCTTCAATACAGGCCTCACCACCCTCCTGGGGTGTGTAGTCAGCCTGGTGCTAGTTTTCATGTACCTGTACCTCACTCCATGCTGCTGCTTCAGATGCTGCAAAAGGTCTGCTACCCTGAGTCCTCCCCAGGAATGCAGTGCCCAGTCCTCGATTCTGAGCACCACACCACCAGCCACAGAGGGACCCAGCCGCAAGATCAGCACCCACAAGCATGTGGTGTTCCTAGAGCCCATCAAGGAGGTACAAAATGGCAAGATCCAGCTGGCAGTCAGCGAAGATTTCCCAGATACCAAGAACCCCAAAATCCTGCAGCTCAAGTCAGACTCTGAATCCATTGGTTCCATCTTCTCCGACACCCCCATCATGTCATAGGTAGGGACCAACTGGATTTGATGCCGCTGCCCACCGCTTTGACAGGCAGAATGCAGGACCCAGCAGCCACTTCACAGGTAGAGTGCAGTGGCTCCCCCATCACTTCTGATTGACTGAGGGCTCCTAATGGCCCTGTCCCTTGCCACTGCTTGGCTGTGAGGGCTGTCCATCATACAACTCTACCCCCCGCCTTGCTGCTGATTGGTGGAGAGGGACGGGGCAACATAACAGGCAGACTTCACAGCCAATCACTGGTGAGGGGTGGGGGGAAGGTGGCAGCCATCATGCTAGCAGCCCTTTGATGGGCAGTCCCCCCTCCCCTTACTCATTTTTCGTAAATATTCTTTTTCTTCCCCCTGCAGATTTCGCATGCATTGCCCACCTCCATGGGCAAATGCCAGATTTTGCAAAATCTGCAAAATCTATGGTATCGTGATTTCAGTATGTCCCTAGTCATAGGAGGTAGGAGGCCTGGAAGCAGAGATGGGGGGCAGTTTTGCAGGATATGGAAATTTGGGGCATCAGTAGTGGTCCCCACTGCAAGCAGAAGGGGCATGATGTAGCGGTGGGGTCTGCCACCCAGAAGAGGCCAGGTTTTTTCAGTTAATATCCAAGGATGGACTGTGGTGTATTTTCAATCTCCAGCTACATCTAAGAATCACCACATTCTTAAACAGAAGGCCAATGATGATCTGAGATCTGCTCAATCTGTGACTGCACAGTCTAATGGCCCATGCCTCAACTCACTGTTTGAACTGAACCAAGTCATTTTCAGTACAGATCTAGCTTTTATTTGATTAAATGCTTTTTGAAGAATCTCAGCTGACTGCAGCCTGTTCTGTGACAGACACACATGACAGTAAAAAGTATCCTGTGCTCCACTAAATTTCTGGCAATGGAACAGAGATAATTTCTTCTGGTGGCCATTAATAGGTCGAGAGAAACCAGTCAGGGAACTCCTGCCTTTTCTGGCTAGCTCTGAAACTGACCTTCAGAAGGTTAACATGCCAGCTAGCTCTTAGCCCTATAAATTTACTGCTACAGAGAACTGCAGCAATGACATTAACTAGCCAACTCTTCCACCGGATTCAACCCTAATCCTCCTCCTTTTCCCTACACAGCCTGTTTTTCCCTCTAATATTGGGCATAGAAAAACATGAAAGAACCATCCATTCTTGGCTGACCCCAGGACTTACTGGACTACACACTGCTGGAAAAGCACTCTCCTCGAGAAAGACAAACCTGCCCTTTGCATGTGCACGGACAGTAGGATAAGTGCCAGAAACTATCCTCTAGATCCTAGTGCTTAAAATATGTTAACAAACAGCTTTAATTACAAAGCCATGCATGTCATTCATTTGGCCCAGCCCACTGGGCTTCTTTCCTAGATACATTTGTCCCCAGCAGTAGGTATCCACACTGCTATGCTAAAATTCTGCTACCTCCGGACAGCACAAATGATGTTGGCTTGTTACCTGGGAGGGCAGGGGGAGGGAGTGAGAGAGTTGTGAAAGCAGCAAGATCCATTCCCAACAGCTGAAGTGATGCAGTCTTGTGCACGGAAAGCTAGGGCTCTGGTGGAGAGCAAGAACGATTCTCTCCAGGGTATATGGTGATGATGTCTACTGTGAATAAATTAGCTCACTGTTATCCCCTTTAAGCAGGTATACACAAGTTTAGATAAGTAATGCCTCCCATCTGTGTGTTTGTAAGGGGGATGTCAGTGAGATATTCATTAGACAAAGTCATTTAGCTAGGTAAACAATACCTTATTTTCTCTTCCGATACACACAAGTAGCCTGCAAGTAGTATATTTCAGGAATGTATTCGATAGCTGTGCATAGCACAACAATTATGACCCAAACCCATATTGCTGAGAGTTTCCCCAAGCAACTGAGGACCATCACTTCCTAAGTGTGCCATCTCTCTTGCCTGCTTCTCCTTGAGAAGGGCAGATCTGCTGCTAGGGCACACTGGGGAGCTGGCTCTTTCAGCAGTAATTTAATAAGTGTACTGATAATTGTGACTAATCCATTCCCATCTGCCATAAATTCTCTTGTTACCTTTGGATTAAAAAAATATTTTCTTCTCTAACCTCAAGTTCGTCTGCGTGTTTCTCTGCCCTTGTATGGGACATAGGGCAGTGCCTGTCCAGTCTGTTCTCAAGTGCTGTTTTCAAGAAACCCTCTCCCCTCCCTCCTCTCTGCTGCCCTATGAACCAGGAACATGCTGGAGGAACTTTATGTTTGTGTTGACCCCAGTACAGGTGGGGTCACCAACTCCTTGCAACCACCTCAGTATTTGGCTCAATGTCTACATTAAGGTCACAATGAAAGAGGAGTACTTCAGTGACTGGGATTGAAATTTGCAAAGCTAGAGCTATTAGACACTTGGCATCCTGTAAGAGCACCATGTTAGCACATATAACCAGCAGGACAGAGCTCCAAAGTAGTAGGATGAGGGGCAGGAAAACAATACAAGAGGGTTGATCCAGAATAGGAAGCAGTCTTTTCCTAATTAAGGTCTGCAGAGCACTGTTCAGATGCTGCATGCAATGGCACAGGATACCAAGCTGTCTGGGAAGCTGAATGCCCCTGCCAAGAGACTCCATAGTCAGGCACAGTTTGCAAAAGAGCAGAGCCCTCCCAGCTAACTCTGGCTTGTGCCCTACAGCAGTGGTTTGCAACCTTTTTAAGTAGATCACCTTTGGCATTTAAAAGCAACCCAAGATCTACCGTGTGCCACTGCCAACCCCTGTCCAGCAGGTAAGTCAGTGGAGAGGGAAGGAGGGGGCAGATCAAAGCAGAGGGAGAAAAATATTATTTGGGGGCATGCCTCCCCAGCAGGTAAATTCCACCCAGCTGGGGCCCTACTCAACTTACCCCTGCTCCTGCCTCTGTGGCACTGTCCCACACCACAGGGCCTCGATCTAGCCCCTGCCTCTTCCCTCCCCCATGGACTGACCTGCTGGGCTGGGGTGCATGCATGCGGGCATTCAGCCCTCCACCCCAGGCCTGGATCGACTCCAAGAGGCTCTGAGATCTACTGCAAAAGGCTCTGAGATCTAACGGTGGATTGAGATCCACTGGTTGGTAACCACTGCTCTACATCATTATGTGAAGGGCAGCTTGATTCTAATGTGGAGACAGAGCCAAAGTAGCAGACGAGTGAGGTGGCTCTGGCTGAAGCTCCTGTCAGCATTTTCAAGCCCCTGGGAGTGGAAGGGTATTTAGAACTAACAGGAGGGATGAGGAGAGACTGGAGATGCAAGGTCCTGCTCTGCCTGGTGGACAACATGGACTCTGGGAAACAGTGGGAGCACACACTTCTTTCTACTCCCACAATCCTTCTTCAGGCCACTGACAGACATGAGAAAAACCCCCAAAACAGCATTTTACTTTCAGCTCAGTGTGCTCCTGCACTGAGCGCAACACATGCCCAGAAGAGGAACCACCCCAGTTTGACTCAGCTCACCCAGCATATGTATAGATCGTGCACTTCAGCAGGGCTTTTTGGTGCTTCTATCTAACAGCCGATTCAATTGGCTATTAGATAAAATGCCAAAAAGTTGATGAAGTGCATGATCTATATAGACACTGGAGAGTTGGGTCAAACTGAAGCAGTTCCTCTTCCGGTAAAGCACATTCCCACGCCAAATCTGTCAACGGCCTCGGTCTCCAGCAATCCTCCTTCAGCCTCAGAAGAATCCAACATACATACCTTGCTTCTCTTCTCCAGTCCTGCACACATGCTATGTCAACGTCAAACATTTTTGCTCATCAACTTGCTCACCCAGTGGTTGGAGATCACCCACCAAGCAGCGGATGCCCTCTGTGTTAGCACTTGGCTCCAGCTAACCAGTATCTCAATCACTGGGCTTAGCATCATTCTGGAAGGCTTTGAACCTGCCAATTGCTAACCTGGGGGTGGCTGAAATTGTATTAATAGAGAGTTCTGTCATTGGTCCTGCTCCCCTGACTTTTCTCAAAACAAGCACCTGTCAATAAGTCACATCCCCTGCTAAGTTTTAGACTTCTCTGCAGCACTCGCACACCCCAGCAGGGTGAAGCACCTGCAGGCAGCTGAACATGCATGGCCTTTCCCAACTACCCACCCACCAGCACTTACGCTGGTCACACCAGCAGCAGCAGTGCCATAAACTATTGGGTAACCACAGCACAGCACAGCACAGCACCGCACCGCACAGCAGGCTGTCTGTTAGGGGAGAGAGGCACTTCTCCAGCTCAAGCAGAACAGAGTTGAGAGCAGGAAATTCATTCGAGAGGTTCAGAAATGCAACCTTTCTCCGCAGCAAGAAACTGGCTGCACTGGCCAGTAACTACACAATGGGCTCAGGCCAAGAAAGCCACACCTCTAAGCTCTGAGCCACTTTTTTCTGGGCTTGTACTGCCCTGTGGAGAGGCAAATCTTGCTCTATAAGAGAGACAAGAATAGAGTGGGCACATAGGATACAGATTTGCTGTGCTATGTTCAGGAAGTCCAAGAGGGAGTGCAGAGCAACAAAAATGATTATGGGCTTGGGAAGCAAGGCTTATGAGGAAAGGCTGAAAGAGCTAGGGCTATTTAGTCTGAAGAAGAGAAGATGGAGGAGGGATTTGATAAGTCTTTAAATAACTGAAAGGTGATTACAGAGAGGATGATGATGATGATGAGCTTTTCTCTGTGGCTGTAGGGGACAGGACTAGGAGCGATGGCTTCAAGCTTCAGCAGGGGAAATTTGGATTGGAGGTTAGTAGGAATTTTCTGACTGTGTGTGTGGTCAAACATTGGAACAGGCTATCTAGAAAAACTGGAATCTCCATCCCTGGAAGTTTTCAAGAGCAGCTGGACAGGCAATTGGCTGGGATGGATTAGTCAGGGATGACTGCCTTGAAAAGGCGGTTGGGCTTGATGACCTCATAAGGTCCCTTCCAGTCCTAATTTCCCATTACCTTAATATTTACCTGGCAGCAAGGAGGTATGAGTTCCTTTCCCAGTATTCTCTAGCCCCATGTGCACTGGAGACACACACCTAAGGACATACCCATGCAAGATCCCTGATAACAGAGTTGGAGTTGTGGCTATACCATGCTGGCTCCTTGCATAATGGAAGAACACATTAGCAGACCCCAAATGCCAAAGATGCAGAAGTACATAGCCAGGGCCACTGCTTACTCCACCATTCAACCAGATAACATCAAAGCAAGCAGGTACCTTTCCAACCTTCCCCCAAGGAGCAACCTCCACAAATCCAACCATTTCACACACAGGTAGGGGCCTACTACAGTTTGTATGGACATACCCAAGCTAGGTGCAAACAAGCAAACATAGGTCAGGTTCTGCATGGAAATTGGTATTGTATCAGCAAAAAACCCACCTAGAAAACTGGATGACTACTCTGGCAGCCTGCTCATGTCAAGTCTAGGCTGCTATGCATATGTTGCTAGCTATGCCCCAGATAGCCAAGGTGTTTCTTCCTGAGATGCAAATTGCCAGGGCTTGCAGGGGTAGATAACAGGAGCTGGGGGCAGATGAGCAGACCCTGCCCACCTGCTTACTATCCCCCTCCCCCAAGGAGACAGCAGCCCATGGTTGACGTAGCAGTTCACTCCCAGAAAGACAAAGACCTCACAGGTAGCAGTTGGAGCTGGTCTTGATACAAAGAAAGGTCACCTTTGTATCAAGGTAGCAAAGGGGAAGATTGAGTTTACCCATCTACCACACCCCAGAGCTTGGCAGGACACAAGGGTTCATCTGTCTAGTCCTACTACTAGCAAACAACCATAATACCCTTGCTCAGGGGTGGGCAAAATACA